GGCAAGGAAGGGATCTGATGGGAATGTCCAGGGCAGGAACATCTGTCCCGGTATTAAATGCGTCATTCCCATCTTCCCAGCACTAGAGCCACCTGCACGGAGAAGTAGAGACTTCTTGTTCCCTTTGCAAGTGAACAGCAGGATCAATTTAGAGCACTGGTCTCAATGAGGGGGAGGCAGTTTTGTCCCCTAGGGACATTTGGCATGTCTGGAGATATTTTTGGTTGTCACACAGAGAGGGGTGTGCGATTGGCATACAGTGAGCAGAGGCCAGGGGTGCTACTAAACATCCGACAATACACAGGACAGCCTCACAATAAAGAATAATCCAGCCCAAAATGTCCATGGTACCATGGCTGAGACACCCTGCTCTAGAGGCAGCTTGTTACCACCTTCTGATGGCTACACACACAGCAATCTAACAACATCCAAGACATTCTCTTGCCAAAGTACCCCTACCAACCTTGGCTGGTAAATATTATAAGATACTCACATTGAGATCAAGACTGAGCAGGAGATTCCCTTTAATAGACACCTTGTCACCAATGGGCTGCACACTACTTTATAAGCAACAGAAGTGAGTATTAATGCTGGTGCCTGCTAAGGAAAGACAAAGAAAAATAAATCCAGCTTGTCTCTGGCCATACCCTGTGGCTCCTGGTCAAGTGATTTCTCCAGAGGAATCAAATACAGTAACAACCCTTTCAAACCCCAATTCCTTTATCATTCATAACATGTAATTAAGCAACCTTGAAAACCTCCAATTCTAGCATCTGATCTGTGAATTGATCCTAAGATTCTTCCCCCATCATGAGTCAAAAAGAAAAAGCTACTGCAGAAGTTTCTACCCTGAAGTTGAAAAGCAATGTCTGGGAACAGCTAACCCAGCAAAGAAGCAAATTTTCCAAAATGAAGGCAGGAGGAGAGACACAAGTTTTTGCCAACACACACCAACAGCGAACATCTAACACACTATAGAAAACAATCAGCCCAGAGAGTTGGCCAGGAGATAGCTTTTTGGAGAGTGAAAACTTACTCTGATTGTCAAGGGCAGCTGAACAATGAAAAGCCGGGGTGCAGATTCCCTAGTGGCATTTGCTCAGGAAGGGCCACAGGTGACAACAGGGAGGCTGCCCTTCGCATCTTGGGGCCTCGATGCCCTGCCATCCTGCAGTATCTCTGCTCCCAACATCTCCAGGATGGTTGCAGCCTCCCATCTCTGAGGAAATCAGAGCTGTTCTCCCACTGCTGAAAATATTTGAGATGTGCCAAGCAGATGGTCCCACGCTTATCAGCAGGCGCCGTGCTTCAAATGGCATAATTCAGTGACACCCTCAAGTGAATAGCTTCCCGCTGACGCAGAGTGGGTGTGAGCTGGTGGTCACACAAGGTGGCTGACCACCTTGAACCGCAAGGGCCAGCCAGGATCAGGGGGAAAGATCACCCAGGGAAATGCTTTGTGGAAGAGCAAAATCACGTGTGTAGTGGGAAGACAGAACCAGCTCACATTCCTAGCCCAGCCTATAAGTAGTCATGTGACCCCTGCCACACTCGTTCAGACTCAGTTTTCTCACCTGTAAAATGGAGCTGATAAAAGTCGTAGTGATTAAATGAGATGTATGTATAGACCTGCACCGTGGGAAACACATGGCCAAACAATTAAATATTCATTCCCTTCTTACAATCTTTTTAGAGTGTCATGTCCAGTTTAGTGTATAAGACACATAGGATGCAAGGAAGAAGAGAGCGTGCCAGGGGCCGGGTCCCAGGTGGAGGCGGGTGGGCAGCACTGCCACAGCCCACCCCGTTCCTCAGCCTGGTTCCGAGACCCTTCCTGGGAGCAGCTGTTTCTGTTAGACACGGATTCTCGGGTGGAGGCGGGTGGGCAGCACTGCCACAGCCCACCCCATTCCTCAGCCTGGTTCCGAGACCCTTCCTGGGAGCAGCTGTTTCTGTTAGACACGGATTCT